GTGTTCATTCACCTCACCAGTTGTGGTCATTACCTGTTTAATGTTCTCGAACTTTTCATTCTCTCCTCACCTCTTGCCTTCTTCTCTTCGCCAGCATGGTACAGATGTGAGCCGCCTCAATATCTGTCTCCATCGCCATTTCCTCCTGGTGCTCATTCGAACGGAGGCGTGATGGGCAGACCAGATTGTGGTTTATGGAAGCCAATGGAATATTCTTGTAGTTGGAAGAATCGTGAGCCATCTGCACTGAGCTCTCTATTATTCAACACCACCTTCGAAGAACCTGCTTGTTCGAAATTCGACACTTTCAACACGGTGTCACAGCACGTGTCCCAGACTGTTTTTGAGGAACAAAATGCTCCATTGGATTTGAGTATTCACTCAAATCAGACCACCAATGGTGGTGCAAACCAACGCCCCACTCTACCTTCAACTAATTCTCCACTTTATTCCCCAAGTAAACGGTTGTCAAAATACTTCAATTAAATATGTGCAAACACAGACCCTCACATATACATGGCAATTTTATGATTTCTGATGAATGGCTCTGGTGAGAGATTGCGTGTTGTCTGTGTATACCTCTCGCATAGTACGGGTTTTGCTAGTTACTCTACTTACATTTATGAAGTAGCAACTTGTGTTTCACTTACCAACCTCCTAGTCTTTCTTATTGTTTTAAAAATATATTTATAGAGGTGCGGTTCACTTAATTGCACTCAGAAAGTATGTCATTACTGATTATATTGGGCTTTTAATGCTTGTGTTCATTGAATACCGAGGGGTTAAATACATGCAACACATTCACACGCATGCATTGAATTCCCTGGTGTCCATACACAAATCGCATTTCCGTTATTTGGTCCTCATGGAATTCGGAGCATTAGGAGGCAATGAATGTAAGTTTTGATAAATTTGTGAACTGTTTCCTTGAATTAAACTTGTAGCATTGATCTGAATCTTTTCTAGCGAATACCTTTCAATTCTTTGTCAATCTGGCATAGTCTAATGCATATTTAAGCATTTCATTGGGGGCATATTGAAAGATGGGGTGTGCGATAGACTTACCTCCACGTGGTGCACCCTGGGCAACGTATACTCATACG